GGGGGTGCGTGAGCGGGCCTGCCAGTGGGGTTGGGAGCTGCAGGCGAGGGGAAGCGAGGAAGGGCAGGAAGCCCAGCGTGTGGCTGAGATAGTCTGTGGAGGAGGTGAGGGGGCATGGCTCAGCTGGACTGGGGGGGGAGCAGGAAGATTCGCGTGTGGCCAAGTTGGGCCACCCAGGAGAGTTTTGATGCCTGGTGGAGCAGCAGGGTAGGGGTGGGGCCAGCAGCATGGGGGGGCAGAAATGACCTCCCAGTGCAGCAAATTCCCTCACCCGGACCAGTCAGGTCCCGAGGGTGCCAGACCAGGGTGGTCCAACCTGTATGACATGTCCAGGGCTTCACTGACCCTTCAGTTCCCTCTCGGGAAGGGCAGTGCTTGGGTAGAGGAACAGAGAAGGAGTCAAGGGCCCAAGCTCTGTTTCTCACGCACTGTTGGCCATGTCACTTCCCTTGCGAGTCTCAGTTTGAGTCAGGAGTGGGGATTTTTAGTCTGGGGATAACAATTGCACTCTCTCAACAACCTTATAGCCTGGCCACTGGCAGCTAGACATGTAAAAGCAGAATACACTCGTATGTACACAAATACGTTTTGTCTTCCCTGCAAGTCTGGCATCAATTTTCTTGGGCAGGGTGAACGCTGTCTGCTTCCCTTTATGTCAGTCTCATAAACCTAGCTTAGAGAAACTAGTTTTGTAAGAACATAAGAACGACCACACTGGGTCGTACCATCTAGCCCAGTATCCTGTCTGGACAGTGGCCAATGCCAGATGCCGCAGAGGGAAGGAACAGAACAGGGAATCCTCAAGTGATCCATCCCATTCGTAGCTTCCAATGAATAGAGGCTGGGTACATCATCCCTACCCATCTTGGCATGAATTTATCTGCGTTTTTTTTTTAGCCCTGTTAAACTCTGGCCCTTCACAAAGTCCTCTGCAAGGAGTTCCACAGGTTGACTGGGTGTTGTGTAAAACATCTGAAGAGGCAGGTATCACAGAATACATTTGCTCTCTGAAATTCATCAGATAAGTTGAGAGATTCCTGCTCTCCCCCGGGGATGGATGCGGCACTTACCGCTGGGAATTTTTGTAACCTTCAGAATTTGCTGCAGCAGAAATAGCCACGATCAGAGCTGGGAATCCGTAGCCGAACGGGTACATGTATCTCTTCTTGAACCGGCTGGCACTGGTGTAATTCACCACCTTCAGGTTCCTGACAGTGAGGAAGAGGTGCAGCCCCTCCAGGAACATCCAGGTGAAGCAGGCCAGGAAGAGGTAGTGTAGCAAGCCAGCAATGACCGCACAGCCCTGGAGGTGACAGAGAACTCAGCAACTCTGGCATGTAGCTCATTATGGCAGTGAAAACAACAGTTATTTGATGTTCGGGCCGTATGTTGTGCAGGCCTGTGATAGAATAATTGTGGCAATTCTGACCCCACCCAGCAGAGGGCAGGGGTGTTGCACACATGTTGGATATTGAATTACAATATTTGCTCTAGTAATAGAAATGTAGCCGTGTTAGTCTGGTGTAGGTGAAGCAAAATGCAGGACTATGTAGCACTTTAAAGACTAACATTCATGTTAAAATTCGACACTCTCCGGGAAGGAATGAACAAAAGCTCTAACTATCTTACCCATTACCAAGATAGCTTCCCCAATTATCACCTGCAATACATACCATTAGCTCACAGACGTCCCACTCTCCCCACCTCTAATATCATCAATTCGCAGACACTTACCTTCCTTCCTTCCCCCTCCCCCCACATCCTCCTCCTGTTCTGAAATGTGATTTGTCCTTTTCTTATGTGTTCATTTTTTTTAATTGTATCCTTTGGTATATATGGTTGTGACTATTTTCTTCCACTACTTGATCTGAGGAAGTGGGTCTGGCCCACGAAAGCTCATCATCTAATAAACCATCTTGTTAGTCTTTAAAGTGCTACATTGTCCTGCATTTTGCTTCAATATTTGCTCTGGTCAACACTCTGGGCGAGGAGTGTTTGAAGTAAACCAGGGACGCACTCATTTCAGCATACACACTGTCCTCCCCCCGAGAGCCAGCGCCCATTGACGGCTGTGTGGATTCCACCTGTGGGCCAAGGCAACTTTTTCACAGTGGGAAATGAGCATCCGCCCGAAAGTGCAGCTTCAGCTGTTTGTGGTCGCGGCTCACAGAGCTGTTTTCTAGTCCAGGGTCCCTCTTACGGCCGGGGAGCCAAAGCCCAGAGATTCTGAAACTCTGGAGCCAGACTCTGATTTCACTGATGCTGGTGTAAACCTGGGGTATCTCCACGGAGGCCAGTGGTGTCAAGCTAGCATAAGCAAGATCTGAATCTGCACCATTTCATTTGTTTTGGACCAGAGGTAACCCCCCCCCCCCAATTTAGGACTGGTACATCGCACGTGCCTTGGCTCTCAGTCTGAATGCCCTGCCCACACCAGCAGTTCTGTGTGCGCCTCCATCCCTCCAGCAAACTCCCTGCGCCATCCGCCCACGCTCCTCTCGTGCTCCCTGTGAGACCCCACCTGCCTGGCCTCAGGCCACACTCTGTGTTCCACTTCCAGCTCTCGCCTGAGTCTCACCCCTACCAGTTTTTATTTCCCCAGGACAGCTAGACCCCGGCTCTGCCCTAGGCCCCGCTCCTACTCCACCTCTGCCACAAAATGCTCCACCTCTTCCTGTCCCTCCCCTGCCCTTGTCTGGAGGTGCTGAGTTTTTATTTTCCAGGGGTGCTCAACCCCTGTTCTACCTCAGGCTCTACCCCTACTCCACCTCTGCCTCGTCCTGTCCCTCCCCACAAGTGCCTCCTGCCTGCCACTGGACAGCTGATCTGGCAGGCCGGAGGTGCTAATCTGTGGAGCCTGCCGGTGGGTGTTGAGGACCCACTATGGGTGCTCCAGCCCCAGAGCATCGAGGTGCCATTTTGGGACAGCGGGGGGAGGGGGTAGCCATGTGCACCAGAATGCTGCTTGTTTTTCTTCCTGTTCCCCTAATGATAGGGACTGAGGGGAAAGTACTTGGAATCCATGAATTACTCCTCTGCCCCTCCCTGTCCCACCCAGGAGTCCCGCCTGCTCTCCCAAAACAGCCACCTTGCAGAGAACCCACAGAGCTTGCACCGATTCCATCGTCCCTTATTTGCTGTCCTGCCCTCAACCCCTGTTATCTCTTGGGAGGGTCTGTCTGGTCCCCCAGGCTCCCTCTTCCCCGTCTCCCAAGGCAGGAATTTCACATGCACCACATTCCCCCTCGTTATTTCATTACAGACACATCCCAGGTCCCCAACCAAGTTCCAGGAGCCCTGGTGCTCAGCACTGTACAACCACACAGCCAGGGGGTGTTTACACTGTATCTGGGAACATGAGCCCCTCAGGCAGAAGTTCGGGCCAGGCGCTCAGGTACCATGAGCTGTTGGCCCACTCCGTGAGGCACCCTCCCGCCCCCCAGCTGCAGTGTAGACGAACCTTTGAAGATTGTTCCTGCTCTGAAGAACTTACAATCTAAACAGGCAAGACAGAGAAAAGCGGGGGAGGTGCATTTGGGATGATTTCCCAACCTTATCCTTGACTGTGTCCATCCCGGTGAGGAAGAGCAGGTCGGCCAGGAAGAGGCAGAGGCAGAGCTGCAGGTGGAGGGAGGTGCTGACGTTGCGGATGGAGCGGCACAGGAGGAAGGTGAGGATGGCGAGGAAGAGGCACAGCAGGGAGATGGACAGGCCCACGTGGGTGATGATGCTCAAGGAGCCGTCTTCCTGCTAAAGGGAAAAGTAAAGCCAGAGAAAATCTTGCAAATCGCGCTGTAGGAACAGGCTCTGTGAAATACCCGGATAGTTTCCCATGGAAATCGGAGCTCCAGCTCCATTGGTGGGGATCCCCTCCATGCCCTGCCCCTTCCACTAGAAAACACAGAGGCACAAACAGCACAGGTCTGGAGTTTGCAGCCCCAGGCAACTACGTGGTTTTCTGGATCTCATAGTGACTGCGAACAGATTGGACCAAATATTGCATTGCACAGGACACTAGCCAGTCTGTAGGACGTCTAATGACGTCTAACAAGCTGGCCAAGTGCAGGGGATCATGACTAGCGGCTGGCTCCAGCCATTGGAACAATTCACAGCACGAGACACTGCTCCTTTCCTTTCTGTGCCGCAGGCCTGCAATTTGGGTGTCCAAGGGCTCAGGTGCACTCTCCCAAATCCCTGCGGGTTTTTCTCTGGGCGAATGCAACCCCAGCTTGCTACACGTGGGTTGGGAGCTTCGGCAGATGCGGGCAGCAAAGCTGGACATATGGTTACAGGAGCAGGTGGTGTGTGTGTTGTTTGCACTGAGCGGTTCGCAGCCCTCTGTGGACCAGGTGCCTTTGTCGCTAACGACATCCCAGAAAACACAGACCGTCTCTTTGTTATTCTTCGGCTGGGAACAGAAATTGCAGCAACAATGTCAGCACCACACACTAGTTTAGCTCATACTCAAGGAGAATCCAGAGTTTGACACAAAGTTTGAGACCTGTGTGGCCTTAATCTTTTATGTCCGGGGAAGAATGAATTTTGTTATGT